TGAGAAAAGTCCGCCGAGCCTGTCGGCGTTCGTGACGGGATGGCGGCCTCTGTCTCCGGCAACGAGAAGCCCTTTCCCCCTTTCCCTGCGGCCACCTTGGGCCATGCTTAGGCACGCCAGCCCACGGCAGATCGAGCAATGCCGTGCCCCTTCCCTTTGATCAGTCTTCGCCAGGGTCCTCGGGGAGTCTCACCCCACAGGCGTCCCTTTCCCAATAGGCCCAGCACTGACACGTAACGTGGTCCGCAATCCAAACCTGCGGTATGCTCTACGATGTTCCCATGGGCCCACGCTGGAGTCGTCTTGAAGGCTTCTTGGGCCGTCCTTGAAGCCCTCAGGGCAAGCCAAAGAGGCCCAAGTCGTGCAAACAAGCACCACCAGTACCAAACATAGCCCTCGCCGATGCGGGTAGGAATGAGGGGCTGGTCTGGGTTCGACGCGGCGCGAGTCTACCTTGCAAGCGGATAGCGTGTCGCTCCGCTCCGCGGGGCGGGAGGCTAGGCAAAGCTCAGGGCGGTAACGCGACGTGGATAGCGTGTCGCGCAGAGGCGTGGTGGGCCAACAACTGCGGCGCGACACGTTGAGCCCAAGCTCCTGACCACACACCAAGACGTCGCCAGGACGATGATAAACTCGGATGGAGATCCAGCGGCTCTGGAAGCGCGGGCGTCGTGGCCTTCTCAGAGCATTCCAGAACGCTCTGAGAGCATTCCCCGCACACGCCCTGCAAGAACGCCCGCCCCACGTTCCTCAGACGGAGCGATCCTCCTGAGAGCGGCCACTCAGGGCCCCAGGATGAGCAGAAGGAGGAGGAGGAGGAGGAGGAGGACGAGGAGGAGGAGGAGGAGGAGGAGGAGGAGCAGGAGGAAGAGAAGGATGCAGAGGGAGGAGGGAGTGTGTGAGGAGGAGGAAGAGGAGGAGGAGAGGAGAGACGAAGGGGAGGAGGGAGGAGGGAGGAGAGAAAGGACGGAGGAGGGAGGAGGGAGGCAGAGGAGAAGGGAGGAGACAGGAGGAGGAGCAGGAGAAGGAGGAGGAGGAGGAGGAGGAGGAGGAGGAGGAGGAGGAGGAGGAGGAGAGAGGAGGAGGAGGAGAGAGGGGAGGAGGAGGAGGAGGAGGAGGAGGATCCCCGCTCGCTGCGCAGAAGAGCAGTCGTCTCGGGGCGGACGCGCGGCGCGCGCGCGGCGGGCCGTAGGGAGAGACGGGCCGCCGCGATCGCACCGTGCGGCGCACTCAGGTGGCCGTGTCCAACACGGGCCCCTGGACGACCATCAGGAGGTCGTAGCAGCGCCGCAGGCCAGCCTTTGAAGAAGGAGGGAGGTAGAGGGTGGGGGCCGAGAAGCTGCAGACGACTGCGTAGCGGGCGCGAAGGGGATAGAGAGGTGCATCCCCGCTCGCTGCGCAGAAGAGCAGTCGTCTCGGGGCGGACGCGCGGCGCGCGCGCGGCGGGCCGTAGAGAGAGACGGGCCGCCGCGATCGCACCGTGCGGCGCACTCAGGTGGCCGTGTCCAACACGGGCCCCTGGACGACCATCAGGAGGTCGTAGCAGCCATACCCATGCTCAAAGCCCTTGCGAAGTGACAAGAGTTCGGCGGGCGGCTGCGAGCTGAATGGGCCACCCGGCAAGGCCAGCATTCAGGAAGGACGCGACAAGGTAGTCGCTAACAGACGCAAAGTACTCGACCAGAGACCGAGAGGCCTCAGGGAGGGCGGCAAGGACAGTAGAAGCGGCAGCGTCTTGCAGATATCCCTCGGCGGTGGACGCCTGGCGCCAGCGGCCCCGCCAGAAGACGCGTGGCAAATGCTCCGTAGCGGCATTGAAGTCTGTGGCGCCTGTGCCTTGAAGGCCAACGGGTGTGATGTCGAACCCCGCAGGCATCTTGGCGAGCGGCACGCCCAAGCCGACAAGTAGATGGTTCCACCGAGTACGGAAGCCGCTCTGACCAGAGGTCGTGGTCATGAGCGGATCGGTGGGGCCCACATGCCGAAACACAATATCCATAATTTTGACGGTCGCTCGATCCGAACAACGAGCGTATTGAATCGGATAAGACCGACAACTCTCAGGAACTGCAATCGACAAGAAGGCGTCGCCTTCCGGCTCAAGGCGGTCGCATGGCAGCGACAAGTCACAACGCTTCGCGTGGAGAATCTCGCCTGGACGCAGGGACATCGTGAAACCAGCCAGCACCAGGGCAGCCATCTCGGGCCACTCCCACAGCAGGCACAAGCTAACCATCGCGCGAAGGAGCGCTCGGGGAAGCGGCGGGCGGAGCCCGGGGAAGCTGCGGGCATGCCCGAAGAAGCGCGCTGGAGGCTCGGAATGCTTCCACAATTTAGCAACATCCCAGGCCTCAGTCAGCAAACCCCTACAGTGAGGGTGATTGGCCTGCACGCCCAGCACGGCGTGAACAAGGATGTACTGCGGGAGCCCCGCGTCGTGGAGCCAAACTCCGAACGTGGCCAAGAATCTGCCTGCTAAGATCCCGCTGCGGTAGAGCGTGTCAGGGACAATGCCCGTGTGCTCACCTAGCCACAGCTCGAATGCATCGAGCGAGCGTGTACGCCTGCTCTCATCAGCGGGGGTGAAACGAGAGCCCTGGGCGAACGAGATTCGCGCGAGAGGAGGCGCGGGGCTAAGGCCGCGACCGGAGTCAGCGGCAGCGGTCGAGCCAGAAGGCGTCGGCGCGGCTGGGGACAGCTCGGCCCCTGGGCCGTCTAGCGCCATAAGCCGCGGGCGCTGCCGCTCGCCCTGATGTGCGGCGTCAGCCGAAGACAGGACGGCGCCTGACCGCGGAGCGCTCGGAGGCGCAGCACCTGCTGCACGGCGGCGGCGGCGCGCGGGGTGGGGGACTCGCCGATGCCAGGTAATGGCGGCACGGCCACCGCCCTGCGGCGCCGTGTCAGCCTCGCTGTGCGGGACCGTACCTATCCTCGCCTCAGCCTCGGCGGCGCTGTCCACCTCCGCGGGGGCAGCCGGCACTGCCGCAGGCGCAAAAAGGTCCGCCGCCGCCGCGGGGGGCCCGGCGGACGCGGCCTCTCTGACGCAATTGGCAAGACGTGAGCGGGCGCTGCACAATGCAGCCTTACGGCGCTCGAGCTCGGCGAGGAGCGTCAGGATACGCTCTGCCAGCTCTCCCGCGCTCTCCCCAGTCTCCGCACCTCTCTCCAGCTCGACCTCGGTCAGAGCGGCATCGACAGCGTCGACCGCGGTTC